CTCTGCCTGATGTTGGTTTTGATTTTCTTATGGGAACGAGCCCACTCTGTTGACGTATTCATGACTGATGCTTTCGTTAAGGCATCCTGTTTTTGAAACACAACTACAAGGCATATCGAAATAATTATTATTATAATAATAAATTGGGGAAACTCTTCTAGTGAAACCCTATATCCATTGCTTAGAAACAACAAAAATTTGATAGTCTAATGCGAATGTATTTCACTTAGGCTTATGTATAATTTTTGAAATGAGTTAAGAGTAAGTAATAATGTATTCAAATACATTTTCGTGTCTATTGGAATCACTTTAGATATTCAGATGTGATTGTAAGTTAGAAAGTGCCTAACAGAATGTTAAGTCTTAGCAGAGCTGTTACCGATTCCTATAAAGTATCTCCTTCTTAAATAACATTTACATTCCGCAAACGCATAGCATGGCTGTTAAGCGACAACGGCGAATGTTCCCCTGCTAAATGGGAACACTATACATTCAGTAATGTTAACATACATACGGATGTTAAAATATAACATTATAAAATTTATTTGATGTAGCTATGAGTGAATTTTAAATGGGAATGCTGATTCGTACCTAGGATCCGATATTTTTGAAAAAAACTAATAGCTTGATATTAATATTATCAGAATTCCTGAATTCAGAATATTCACAATTCTGAATAATTTCTATACATACTATTTTTTGATAATCTATTCAATTTAATTATTAATTGAAGTCTATTTATTTATTTCTGCATCCTAACATATTTCTAGTTTTACTTATCTAATAGGGATGTTAAAATATAACATTATAAGTATGGCTATTAATGTGGACCCAATCCATATGTTTGCAGAAATACTTTACATTACTGTTATGTTGCCATAAAAACCCCTGCTGTTGTGGATGCTAAAACAACAGATTCAAATCAGAACAGCGCCTATAACATAAACAACCCCTTCCGTTGTGGGTCGCAAAATTTTATATAACATAGAAGCACTCAGGACGTTTCAACCACATTTAATAACACTTCTGTTACTGTTACCCAAACACTCGATCCACTCTTACCCTATGCGCTGCCAAAAGTGTTCCCATTTCACTGTCACTGAACAGTTTGTTGTTCACTGTCACTGTTAAGAAAATAACATTTAAGTACTAGAGTTTATTATGCATGTGTGTGTGTGCGTGGCGTCCTTTAAGCAGTTGAAAAATCATACAGAATCATTAGACAAAATAGCGAGCAAGCTAACCAAAGTCACGCACCAAAGTCTGCAAGTACTTGCGATAATTGTGAGAAAAGCTGCGGGAGAAATTTACTTCGACACGCAGTGCATTTGGAAAACATTTGCTTAAATGCCGCAAACCAAAACTCAGATAGCAGAAGAATGAAATAGGCACACAAACACACATTTCATATTGCAACTCGGTTCCGCGCACGTTTCCGACACACATGCAACCCACTGAGCGCCCACACCACCCCACCCATCTCAGCCCAACGGCCACCCACTGGCGCGCTTGAGCTCAATGGTGCACCACAAAACGCGCAGCCAATACGCCCGCGGGTCTATGGTAACTTGGGATCAGAGGGGTGTTGGGAAATGGGAATTGGTATCGGTATTGGTGCTGCACAAACAAAAAAAGATCTTCAGCTTTGGGTGACATAAAATCAAAAACTTTATAAAAACGCCGCTGCTTAGAACTCCTGGCATAGTAATATGTGTAACATAACAGGGGGTTAGTTTGAACATTAATCCTGGTAATTTTGCAGACACATGGTAAGTTAAAGTGTGAGTGAAGGAAGACGATACATAATTTCGATGAACCATTACGATTATACCCATTATATTTCTTATGTGTATTAGGTAACGAAATATGTTATCCAATGGTTGACAGCATTTTTGCGAAGTGCACTTGGTTGGGAATGGATGCCAACTAGCACGCGAGATATTGATGTGCGCAAAATATGCCAAATATCAGTGAGGAGGATGGGCCATACATTATACAACACACACATGGGCACGAGTGTGAGAGCTGCCAAATCAAGCGCAAGCCCAAAAGTAGCAACAAATAAAATTTTATGCGCTGCGCGAAAAGTTTTCCTTTTGCATAACGCCCAGCAAATCCAACAATGGCCGCAACAGGAGCATCGCATCATTGGGGAAGGCAATGGCAATTTACATGTACAATGCAAAAGTTTCGATTTTATTGTGTGGGAGTGGTGGGGTTTTCAGTTTGTATTTTTTGCCTCTCCTATTTTTTTTCATTCCGATGGGTGGTGCGTTTTTGGATGGGCAGGCTGCTGGTTGAGATGTCTGATTCTGTTTGTTTTTGCTCTGACAGCCATACAGATCGAAACGCACTCCATGCCCCACGTTCTGAGTTCTGAGTTCTGCGTTCCACGATAAACACAAAGGGCAGAAATATCGAGCGATTGGCGCTGCCGGCGGTGGCCAAAAAGTCAAAAATAGTTTCGAAACGCCATTCGTTGTACTTATTTTGGGAAATGCCAGTTAAGTGAAGGGACTTCATTTGCCATTACACACTCGAACACAACCGGTACGAACTTTTCGATATCTGTTTTAAATGGTTTGCCCAGCTGAAGGCTTTTCTTGGGCGCATTTTCCATGATTATTCTGCTTGAAGGCATATTATATAAAACTTGTTCTTTAACTCTGAATATATAGAAAGGAATTTAATGCTCGAATACATTGTTACATGCTCTTTTCTTTGCAAAACTTCCAGCTCATCAGTCTTTCTATGTCTAGAATTTCGCCAATGATTGAAAGACATTCAACTCGGCTCTCTGGAAGGCAGATAAATTGTTAGCAATTTCAACCATGAAACGCATCGCATTCTACTTATGCACATCTACTCAAGCTCTGCGGCTGCTATGGATGCACATACACACTATACGCACTCTAATGCAGTTTATAACCACAATTTAACATGGCCAGCTGCCGCAGATGCGGTGCATTGCCTTGGCTATATCTAATTTGCATACTGTCTGGGTCGATTATATTACTGATGCTGGATTCCGGGCGCATCTAATCAATTGGATTGTTGAGTGTTCATAAACCGAAAGCCAATCAGTTCAGCATCAAGATCAGCCATGCTAGGATTCCACTATAAAGATAGGGTTTGCTAATATATTGCTATATCTATCAACTGCAGAATCGGCTTTGATGAAGCTGTGGCAAGGCCTGCGAACGTATTAGCGCACCCATGACAGTTTAAATTTCCACAGAGCCACTTTTTGTGCTGCGCTTTTCGTTGCATATTTCAGGGCGCGCTGCATGCCGCCGCCGCTCTTGTTGCACAGGAAGGGAAGCACAGCGAACTGCCAAATGGCTTGCGCAAAGCGGAAGAAAAACTAAAACAAATGTCACTCGTAGTTGACGCGTTGCCACCGACCACCAGCCACCAGCCACCAGGCACCAGCCACTAGCCACACTAGAGCGGTTCCAGAGCCGCCTCCCCAGGATTCGCCATCCCTCATCCACCAAGCCGGTGATCCCTGCCAGCGAAATGCAAATGTCATTTGCAGTTGACACTTGACTCAGCACTTCGCACTGTCCTAGGGCACTTTGGGGTTTTCACCTGCGTCTTTGCGCCCGGTTTCCCAGCCCCCTCTACCCCACACCACCCCTAACCATTTACTGCGTTTGGTGGCACAATGGCCGCTAGACTCACAGCGCCACCCGCGCAGACAGCTGGGTGAATAAAAGAAAGTAAAATAAAACAAAAACCAGCTCGAAAAAAATATGGGCACAAGCCAGGGGAATAGGGGATGCGGCCGAGGGGTGTGGGGCAAGGTGAGGGGTCGACTAATGCCAACTGAACATGAATAAAGTCGAGGCCCCTTGGGAAGCTGCTGCCGCTGCCATGTCCTTCCATGTCGTCCTTATTCTCGTGGTCGTCATTAGGAGGGCAGACGTCAAAGTATGCGCTTTGTTTTTGCTGCGTGCCATGCAGCGTGTTAATAGCCAGGCACCGTGCTGCAGTACACAGCGAGAAATTTCCCCCCCATAGAACAGCATGGGAAAAAAGGGGGAAGAGCATCTCATTAAATGCTTATTTTAAAGGGTCTTAGATGCAAAATCTTCATCATAAGAAACTGCTGTGCGGTTTCACTTGATTTCCCTGCACGTTAAGTAAGTTTAGGTTGGAAATCTACATAAAGTGCTGGCCAAATTCCCTCAGTGCAGCACCGTGAGGCATGAAACCGCTGCCCGCCCGAAAGCCAAAAAGACCGAGTTGACATAGTCTGCTGGATGGGTGAGGTGGTGAGCTGGTGAGGTGCACGTGGAGCAGGAGCCGCGGCAAAGTCAAGTGCTGCAGTTGCCGTCGTGTGGCGAAAGTGAAGCTCGCACAGCGTGCAGCGAGTGGCTGACATCTCGTGTGGCTGTTGGTTGAGCGTTGAACACATTAAATTGATGCGCTTGATAAGGATTACAGCGAATAGGTGGCTTAAAAGGGGTACGTGTTTCCAATAGAATGCACACAAGTTGAGGTTTTGCACAGAAACACAAAACAATTTCGGACACAAAGCTACTTTTAGTTTATATATTTAATAAAACATTCATTTCAAATTAAATATTGCAGGTCCAATGGTGCGTATGCGTAATTAGAACGCCACCTACGCGGCTGTTCATTGAACTTGAAGAAAGCTTCGCCTACTTGCCCTTACTTACGCTAGCGTCCCCCAGAGGGCGCCACTTAGAGCTCAGTTTAAATTGAATAAAATTTAAATAAATACGTCATATTGAGTAAATGTTTCCATAAGAACATGTCTATTAACAAGTTAATTTAGTAGTATTCCACTAAAATTCAACATCGCATGCAAATGCAAGCCAGTCATAGGCCTGCAATTAAATATTTAAAAACTGCATGATTAACTTAGAAAGTTTTCCCCACTCAACCGATTTTCAAGTCATGACAATAAAAAGACCGGAGAGTGAGTACTAATGGAAGCGCAATCACTACAGCGCCGAGTTTGCGAGCATTTTGTTTACTTATCAGCTTCATCCCCACCAGCGGCAATGCAACTGGGAGTAGTTGTCGTTCGACTGGCGCGCAGGCGGCACACAAAGCCACTTACGCCGGAAAAAGTCACGGATTTTCGGAGACTTGATGACACATTTGCTGGAAATATAAGACACATTTTAATACCTTACCAAGGTTAGGGTTATGCACTTTTTATTTCGTACCTTAGAAGCAAACGAAAATGGTTAGCGCCCATTAAGTTGCTGTAGCCTTAAGCCAAATAGAAGCTGCAGATAAGCGGCTCCGTGAATAACTCATCTTATGGAAAACCCATAATGCAATGCCGCATAACATATTATTCTTGTAGCAATCCCAAGCGAAAGCACAATGTTTGAGGAGACCAATAGCCCCACCACCGACAATTCGCTGTGGACACTGCAGGGTCGCCAAAGACCGAGTCCTGCCCAAAGATTGCACAACCTCACCTCCTCGTCCTCCGGCTCATCGACCTCATCCTCCGGCCTTCCGCTGCCGCAGAATATCTTCACGAACCCAGCTATCCAGCCGTCCAGCGTTATAAACCTGAACCACTCCACCGACGTGGTTATCGGCCCCATGACCCAATACCAGGGACCGGTATCCATATACTATATGGACTATATGGAAGCGCACGCCATGCAAACGGCCGCAGGTGAGTCCCCGATCCTGAATGCAGTGGAAAATTATAGTCGTCGGGAAATGGAACCACCAAATTTACATATTTCTGCTGTATTTTAGCATGTGTATTTATCTAACAATAATATAAAAGATTAATTATATTGACTTGCAAAACAACTCTTCACAGCTTGTTAATATTTGCTTTTTTTAAGCCTTTTCATTCACTACAAAGTATAACTTTTTTCAATTTGTAACTTGTTTAGCTAAGTGCAGGGTGCTGAACCTTATCATTTTATTTTACCTAAATAAATGGACATTTTCGCGCTTTTTGGCAAATTACAATTCTTTTTCAAAAATTACATGTTAATTTCTCGAAACTGCTTGTTTTAATTTAATACTTGCCAGATTGTGTTCGGTTTCGATTTGATTTTAATTGGTGATCTGATTACTAATAAAGAGTTTCGCTTGACAAATACAACTGTCTGGCAATTGCATATTGTGAAAGTCTGGTTAAAAGTGTTAACAAAAAGCAGCAATTAAAAGTAAAAAGTTAATCCGTTAAGGCTAACTCGATCGATCGCAATCGTTTAACGATGGGTTCAATAATTTAGCGGAAAGAGCCTCGCAAATGGTTGGACAACAAAGCTGACTGGAATGCAAATAGCGTGCGGGATTCCTGGAATCCCCGTGCAAATAAAGAGCGGCGATCGGGATCTCGAGCACCAAGAGAGCACGCGCTCAGTTGCACACTGAGTGTGGCAGTGAGAGATAGTGTGTGGATCGAACTGTGGCCACTTTGCGATGCACGGCGCATATTGCACATACGTCACGTAGTGCGAGCAGAGCGAAAGGAGAGAGAAATACGAGAAGTGAGTGTGCAAAGCGTAAGAGTGCACAGAAAATGTGATATGCCAAACAGCAAACAGCAACAAAAGGCCGGCGATATCGTGACGCACCCCCGACACCTCACCTCCCCCGCCCCCTCGCCTTACCTCACGCAAACAAACACACAACATGTCAACCGAGGGCAGAGCGAGATGGCTGCCGTTCAGCGCGCTTGCCACCCGCATGGCTGCTTCTCTTTCTGTTCCATCGACAGCTGCGCGCTCAGTTGCTTGTGCGACGGGTCCGGGTTCGGGTTCGGGTTCAGGTGCGGTGGCGGTACCAGTGGCACTCCGCCGTGCGATTATCGGTCAAACCCATTAAACACCTTGCAGACCACTGCTGTTCCCAGTATTTGTGCAGCCACTTGGCTATGCTACTCGCGGTGACTCAACGCCCAATTACTCATAGTGGATATGTGGGCTTATAGAGCCGCGTGTTGTGCCAGAGACCAATAAGTTGTGATAAGCCCAGTGGATCGCCAGTGTGCCATGAAACTGCTACTAAAAGTCCACTCGGAACGCACGGCGCGCAGAAGACGCACTCCCGAGCCCAGTGTAGCGCACTCCCGGGACTCCTCAAGTACATACTTCAGCTAATATCTACTAATCAAATACATTACTGGCAGCTTTCACTGGCTTACACCGGAAAAAATACAACTTGAAATAATCATTTACTGTTCACTTATCACTGCATAGTTTCTCTCTAAACCTTTAAGAATTGAAATGTAAAATGTTTCAAAAACATTTTCAGTCAATGTATCCATTGAGACGTTACAATTTGCAGTGAATTATAAGCTAATTGATTGACTTCCGCTAATTAAGGAATCAACAGCAACAACGCGAATGGCAATGGCAGCGCCAATCGAAGTCGCGATAAGTCGCCATCCAGACGGGCCACCCGGAACACCATCCTGCTGATCACGCTGATCCTGTTGGTCCTGGCCACCGGACTGGTTGTGCTCTACGTGGAACTCAATCGACCCAAGCCCGAGCTGCCCAGCAACAAGGCCATCTACTTTGGCAACAACTACGACCACCACACGTGTAAGTGGATGGGACTTGCATGGTCCTTATAGCCAATTCACCAATTCTACAGTTCCGAATCTAGGAAACGGCCACCTCGTCGTCGACAGAACGCAGTGGGGAGCAGCCGAGACCACTAATGGTCTGACCATTCCCCTGAAGCAACCCATTCCCTACGTCCTCATCACCCACATTGGAGTTCAGTCTCAGCCCTGCGAGAACATCTACAAGTGCTCCATCAAGATGCGCACCATTCAGGATTCAGCCATTGCTGAGAAGGGTCTGCCCGACATCCAATCCAATTTTTATGTAAGTCCTCTCAATGCCACAGAATTAAACGTTGTAAAATTTGTTATTTTGACAGAAGAAGGTTTTAAAATGCCTTTTCTTGTAAAGGTGAATAAAAGTATGCAACAATTCAACGATTCATTAACAAGTACAAAGTTCTGCGCACTTTTACACACCAATATAAATAATATTTTTTAAGCTCCAACAAAGAAATTTGTTCGAGTGTAGTAGGAAAAGAAATCCGGCGCGTGCATTTGTGTTCCCGGCACGTTCACGTGCCATTTTGGGCATTTCGCTTTCCGCTTACGCAAATTGTCAAATTTCCGAGTTTGTTTCGACCAGGTTTCGCAGGAGGGCAACATCTACGTAGGCCGCGGCTGGGACTGGGCCAATACGTATGCGAACCAGACATTGGCCATTACCTTTATGGGCGACTATGGTCGCTATAAGCCCAGTCACAAGCAGCTGGAAGGTGTCCAATTCCTGCTGGCCCATGCAGTGGCCAACAGGAATGTTGAAGTGGACTACAAGCTAGTGGCGCAAAACCAGGTATACCTATACCCATACCCATATATCGTAGTGCCAAATATTTAATAATATTTTTCCAGACCAAGACGACCAGGAGCCCGGGCGCATATGTGTATCAAGAAATCCGGAACTGGCCGCACTTCTACGGCTGCGGAATGGACGGGGCAACGGCGTGTGGCATCGAGCTGGGAATGAGAACGGAATCGTGGGATGCCAAGCAGTAGCTACAGACTTTTCTACCACCTAAGTGAATCCAAAACACAAGCTGTATTTAATACATATACCAAGGCGTACGGAGCTTCCATTTAATCGGTTATGCTGGATTGAAAAACAGAGTAAACCGGTCGGCAGCAAGCGAATCTGTGTCTCTCACTCTCTGGAGCCGTTTGTTTAACTGTCGCTCAAAAAGCTGGAAATTCCCAAGCCGCAGTCAACCTCTATCAGCTCCAATACCAGTACCCCTTTTATTCCCCCATAGACGGGCTTAAACACTCATGGGTTGTGTGTGCGTGTGTGTTTAAATATATGACAGCCTTTGTGCGCCAGTACAACATCATTATCGGTAGCTTCACTTCACTTCACTTATATAGACGATGTTGTGATCGCTGTGGCTGCCTTTGTCATTTATCTGCCTGGCGACTCAATGAATATACAATATAATAATCATGCTGTTATTTTTATCATCTGGAGTGATTACTATCTCCTTTACAGGAGTACTGCTAATTGCTCAGAAATATTTAAAAATAAAATGGGTATTTCCCAATGGCGGCCGTACACGTTAATACCTGCTATCACCACCGACCTTCAGTTCAAAGACCTAAACATTGATGTACGATTGATGATTTATAACAGCTTACCTTTTGAAATTTTGATGTATGTGTCTTTTTGATCCGCGCATCAAATGATGGGCTAAGACTATGACGACATGAAAAGTTAAGAAACTTGAACCCTCGCTTCATCTGTGTATTACCTAAAGTCGAACCTGGCCAAAAGGGTGACGTTCATTCATTGACTAATTAATCCCACGGCGCCCTGAAAAAAATAAATTATACCTACTCCGCGGAACGAATTTTTTGGCTAAAACTACGAAAAGAGCACGGCACGTGTAAAGACCGAAACCAAAAAAAATATATATGTATGTAAAAGAAAAAAACACAAATGCGAAGAGGGAACTGAAAAGGTAAAATAATTAATAATAATTAAGGAAAGAAAATGTGTAGTGGAAGGAATTCAAAAATAGCTGTGGTGATTGATTTCGCAGCCGCTGTAAAGAAATTAGAGACTGCTTCATCGGAAATGATTTACAATAATTACTGGCATTTTTCGCAATAAAATGGGTCAACAAAGAATAGATTGCCTGGCTACAAAATGCATAAATCATGACATTCTCAGTCCTGAACTTCAACTGTAGTCATAAAATACATTTTAAGGGCCATACAAAACGCTTATCAGTAAGTCAGGAGCACTCAGAAAAATAATTAGAAATGGTCTACATCTATTTTCGTTTTAAGTTCGTTGCGCTTTCAAATAATTATGTTTGATTTTTTTGTTTTGGTTTTTTGTCTGAAAGCGTGTTTAAAATTCGTTGCGCCAATTTGTTGCTCTTTACGATTTATCCATCAACAGTTTCCCGGCGCCTTTTTCAGACTATCAGAGATCGCCGAACCGCAGTTCGCCTATAATTACATTAAATATTTTTCAACGCAAGTACAATGGGTCAAGCTGGAATTGGAAGAGAAAAAGCTGGGTACATATGTGTAGTTGTATGTACATATATAATAGAGGCTTGTACCACAAAGTGAAATAGCCAAAAAGCGATTGCGGGCCGCAAAACAAAACAATTCTCGGAAATGGTAGCGCAATTTAAAATGTTCATATTTTTGCCCACACTGAGTGCAGTGTCTGGCCAAAAAGTGTTTTTTGGCAGCCGGGAGAGAGCCGTAGATCTGTGTTGTTTATTAGTTGAATAAATAAAAAAAAATGAAAAAAACATAGTTATATATATAATACGTATACGCCGATTTGTCTGTGTCGATGTCGGTGGTGCGGACGACTACTAAACAACTAAACAAAAACAAACAGTCATCGTCAGGTGGGCTGGCGATCCGGAGATGTGAGAAGAGAGCCCATTTTCGAGCCACGGGGCGTAGCTGGAAGTATCATTATTAATTTGACTAATATCTAGAAGATACATATATGTATGTAAGTAAAAAACCCGAAATCGAGAACAGGTTCCGCCGCGACTTAATGACGCTCGGAAAAACCCAAAATATGCAGCTCCCCATATGCAGTTATCGGAATTCTTGCAGTTTCTTGGGATTACTCGCTTTTCGTTTAAACCAGTTGCGATTGAGGAAAAGTTGTACCGCAAGTAATTCAAAATAGAGTTTCATCAAGCAAGATGTCTATCATCACATTTTATTGGTTACCGCTCGACTGCGAAAGGATTAAAAACTAAAGAACATTTTCAAATTACTAAAACTGAAAAATCATATATGGGTCTTGAGCTTTTTTTCTTTTATGTTAGCAGTTTCTCAGGACAAGGTCTTCTAGTTGCACTCTGAAAATGCAAATCGTTAACAAGGTGGACTGCCTGAAAATCGGACTCAAACTAAACAACTTTGGTTAAATAACAAAAAAGGGCGACCGCTCACTCCCCACCTCTTTCTACTTCTCTCCCTGTATCTGTTTCTCCTTCTCCTTCTCTTTCTCTTTCTGTTTCTGTTTATTTTTTTTCACAGCGCTCTGCTCTCCCCCACTCTTCCTCTTCCCACACGCTGCCGTATCAGACGCTCCAGCTTTTCAGGCCGCCGCGATTTGATCGCCGCTCAGTTGATCAGAGTCACTCGAACGCGCCGCTGCTCAGCGATTCGGAATTGGCGCGAAACAGTATCAAAAGTTCGACTACAAGTTTGGCATATAGTATAGACGCTTAAATATTTGCGAGCTGCATCGGTTTCGACGGCGTTTAAAAGTGCGTAAAGATATGCAAAATGTGTACATGCACTTGTTGAATGGAATATAGAGTGTATGTATTGAAATAATCGAGAGCGGCCAAAAAATGTGATAAATAATTGACCAATTACATTGGTAATTAAGTGCAAACTAGTTTGGTGCTCAAATCGTTTCGTTTTATTTCCCAGCGGTGTTAATTACGAATGCAAGTGAAAGAATTCGTGGCAAAAACATGCTATCGAAACAGCGATCGAAAATCAATTAATTTGCACATAGGCCATATTTAATGATAATTTTGGAAACACGTAAAACTCCAGAGTTGTTAATTATTATCGATTCTCCAGACAGAATACCTGTGCTTGTACGTACAAACAAAACAAAGAGCACCCATATTGCGATGACCTGTGCGTGTATTAGTGACAATGGCCGCCGCTCAAGTGCACGTGTATTGGTGCGCTCAGTAAACTCAAAGTGCCATTCCGTTCCTCATTTGTAGCCGTTGTCGTTGCTCGGTTATCTCAAAAGCGTGCTCTGTGCCAACTCTCTAGAACATCGTTTCTGCCCACACACATACGTACATATGTACATACATACATATAGAGTCGGTACCCTGCATGCACCCTTTGAATTCTTTGGGGTTGATCGGAATTCTTGGAATTCGATAAAAGAGGGTTACTGTATTGAAGTTGGGACAGCTCCTCAGGAACAACCTTCATGTCCTCCATCGAGACGTCATGGCATATGTGCATAATGATCTTTCAGCATTTTAAAGACGTCACTCGCGGCTTTCGAATAGCCAAAAATTAGGCACACCACGCATACATATGTATGAGTACCAACTATTACTAGCCAGTGTGTTTTGTGTTTCTCCGAATCCACTTAAGTTAACAAACTACGTCAATGATTATAGCTAATTTGCATAAACCTTCCATTCGTGCGAGCTTACTGACCAACTATATGAATCGAATTGAGGGGTATACAATATAAGTAAACTGAATAAATACATTCATATATTCGAGCACTATTCAATACCCTACTCATATCTTAATTATACAAACTTCACTGCCATGCAAAAGCAGCAAAGTTTTCTAGACGCGTTTTAAAAACTCCGCTGGGAATCGAGCTTATCAACAATCGTGTATACACGAACTGACAGCGTTGATTATATACATATATTCACTATGAAACTGGCAAATAGAACGATCTAATGGATTGTGATAACAATAAAATCACCTTTTTAAAGCACGCGTAATTGCAATGTAATAAAAAACTGATAAAATATTTCATAAAACAATCAAATCAATTAAATGGTGTCAGCATTGCAGAATCGGCATTGGTTGTGGATTGGCTGGGAGAATCGTTGTCCATGGGTCATGATTATGATTATGATCTTATAGATCTCTTCTGGGTATATCACAGTTTCCAGAGTTTATAACAAAAACTCCAATTGGTTATGCTTTCATTATTTGGTGCCAAGAAGATGATGCTCGCTTGGAGCTTATTAAACCTGGGTTAATATTCGTAGAGATTCAATTATTTTTTTGTCTGTTCCGGGTTTATGGATGGGGATTACTGTGTTGGATTTATAAAATTGAGGTATATATTATTTTAGAAATTTAACAGGCATTATTGTTATCTTTCGTAAGATACTCAAGCTTTTTATTCAACCAAAAGTCCTTTTGGTGGGTTTTTGAAAGTGTTGTTTTGGGGGAATGCTGCTTATGGAATGGCATTGCTTATATTATTTGAGAAATTTGCATTTCTAACAATCAAATTAATAAACTTATACCGTAATAAGGTTTATCAAAAAATATTCTTTTATCAGCAGTACATTGGACATTATTAAAAAAACTATATTTATTTATCAACGTTTCAAAATCAATTGTACACAAGGGAATGAAATGTTTTGAGCTCTAATATCAAAAATACAAAAAATAAAGCCATAAAGCCACAGTGCCTCCCCAAAGTTAAAGCTAAAAGTGGCCCAATTCAAACAAAGAATTTCTCCGAAATATAACATTTGACTAGCTTGTTATCATCAAGTTAACCGGTAACATAAAAACGTACACTTACTTGCAGATGCTCACGATGTGATGTTTGCTGAGAGCTGTGCCTAGTCAGCAGATCTGCCATAATGTACCACCCAATCTGCTAAATAGGAAGGCCAACACATAACGCTCAGAGATCCAGGGAATATATCAATCTGGTTACGTGACTGTTTCGATAGTTCAGTTCGACCGACATGCATTTCAGCAATGAAACGGAAATGAGCCAATGTCCCGATGCGATACGTAGAGTAACCGATCCGTCGTCAGGCGCAAAAAACTGCAGTACTTCGTCCACAGACTCGGGTGTCATATTGAACGATAATGCGGCGACATTTCGGCCGGAGAAGGAGACCAAAGATCGGGGGACGCACAATGGCCAGTCCCAATCGAAATCGGAAGAGAAAACGGAACCCAAGCGTATCAGCGTTGAGCATACTGTTCATATAACAAAGGGAAATGCTGGAAAGACATCTTCGCCGGCGGTTTCCATACGGAGCACCACCATTTCCGTTGTGTCCATCGATGACAATGCCATCGATTCCAGTAGTATTGCTAGTGATTCGGAGGCCGAAGCGGAGGATTATAAGGTCCAGAAGCTGGGTCACCAGGTCACCTACCCGCCCAACAGTTCTCACCTGCGCGACCTTAACCGGGGTCTAACGGTGATCAGTCGTCATGTGGCGCCAGGTGAGGCGGCGGCACCACCTCCTAATCCCCTGGAAGCTGGCGCTGTGGCCAAGCAAATACTGAACGGAAGTCTGGCCGTGGCCACGCCCACTTCTCCGGCGGGAGGTGGCACCCAGGGCATTGGGAGCATCG